CCATGGCTTGGAGTGTGAAAATATTATCACTTGTACTGTAGCCTCACCGAAAACCACATTGCGCTCCAGATAATATACAATTCTTATGACACCAGTGGTCCAGACGTGAATTTAGGATTTTTGTTAGAATCTTGCTTGTTACTGATATAAGGGAGATACCCCTGTAATTGTTGACATCAGAACGATCACCTTTTTTATGTAGTGGCGAGATAATGGCTTTACACCAGGTTAATGGAAAGTTGCAGCTGGAAAGTATGTTATTGAATACATGTAGAAGCAATAAGACAGGACCAATGTGAATCCAGCTATGTTTAAATAGTTCTATTACAAGGCCATCGTGACCCGGAGCCTTGTTATTTGCCAAACTTCTAATCGCTTTCTCAATTTCTAACATAGTTATATTTGCATTTAAATCAAGTGGCACATTATCAACACACTGGTCACAGTGCTCATCGTGTAGTTCTAGGTTCCTAATTACAGCTTTTTTGAATTCATTTGCAGGTGAGATTGGTTTGTTTAACAGGCCATGAAAATAATTGTACCAACAGTCCGCTTTAATTTCATTGGTTAGGGACGCATTACATTTAATATTTCGCAAAATAGCCCAGAATTTCACAGAATCTTGTTTTGCTTCTAAAAATTTGTATTTTTGTTTGTCTCTATAGATAACCATTTCTTATTTCTACATATTGCTTTGAAATTATTTTTAGAAACTCTATAAGTGTTCAAGTCACTATTGATATTTGAGAGTTTGAATTTGTTTAGGGCTTTATATTTTTCTATTTTAGCTGCGCTGCATTCTTTATCCCACCACACTGGTTGGGATTTGTTCCGGATACGAGATTTATTAGTTGACTTCATTTTCGATGCAGCGTGATCAAATATTTCACCCAGTACATGTATGGCTTGATCGTGATTGTTCAGTGTGATATATTCAGAGGCTTGTGCAAGCTGTTGTTGCGTGAACTCATCATTCATACGACTAATGAATAATTCAAGTCCCGAGATTTTCCAGTTGAAACGGCACCTGGGTGTAGTTTTCATTACACTTCCCGATTTATTTTGGGGCGAGTTAGTATGAGTGGAGTTTAAATTTAAGACAGATTGGAAGATGATCAGATGCATCCAAAGTAATAGTAAACATGTCGTCAACAATATGAAACAACTCTGAAAATAAAATGCCATAGTCAACAACACTGACGCCATTGTTAGCGTAACACGTGAAATCACCGCTTTTATCCCCAGGAAAACGACCGTTCGCAATATGTAAATCTAATTTCTTACATAGATCCAACAGTTGTTTTCCATATGAATTAACACATTTGTCTTTTGAATTTCTATGCCAATCAAAAACATCAGTTTGATAACAAATTTGTCTCAAGTTGACTCTGGCGTTGGATTTCCTTGTTAAAATATCACATTGGTTAAAATAAAGTTGAGTTTAGTGACGTCATCTTCGATAGCTGTTGTATCATTCTCAACAAATGTCAGTCAGATTTTTTGACAATAAAATATATTACGACTAATATAAATCTTGAAGCATAACTATCTTATAAATATTTATTAATGTCACAATTCAAACTGAAAACTGTACTTCCTAGCAACATAGAATGATTTTTCTATAAATAATTGATTTCATCGGCAGAACCGAACGATTTCTATTGGCCGATTGAATCACATTTGGACATTTTCAAATGACGTCGTTGTGCGCTGTACTCGTTGATTGCCTGCTTTAATTCAATCGCCATAGGAATTTATAAATATTTATAAATATGAAAAAAATGACCTTTAAGTTTTTGCGCCAACGCTATTTTCTATGCATATTAATATAATCATGTTTTTGTTATGACAATTTTGAATTATTGTCGTTTTTGTATGATACTTTGTCTACTACGAATTAGTTTTCAGCAAATACAAATTATGTTGTACAAAATTAGTAAGGGTGCCACCAGTGTTGAATGATGGGAACCAAAAATGTATTTGTTTTCTCAAGGGGATAAGTGACATTATGAACGCCTCGCTAGAAGTTCGCTATTTCAACCCTCGTAGAACAACTCGCACATGTTATGGCATATGCAAATGTTCTAAGGTTTCATCGAAATACCGGTACACAACTATTGGTGCACGGCAAACAATACGGATACAAACCTTTGGAATGAAGGTTATCCTCTCAGTTACATCGTGACGGCATCTTGTTGTCATAGTGAACACTTTGAAAATATTAAACTTAAAACACGATGATATGGTATATGTTATTGTATACAATCTGACAAAATGTGTTGTTAAGGGATGCAGTGTCTTATTTCTTATGAAATGAACATGTGATACTATGAGTTTATCGTATCACTTAGAGCTGATTCGGTTCGTGGATAATACTATATGACGTCACTCGTAACAACCATCTCTACGAAGTGATGGCAGGCGATAACCTCATAATATATTATTTAGATAGATATGAATCAATTATAATCGATGAATAAATAAATAAATACATAAATAAATAAATAAATATATAGATAAGGTGATAATTAATATACTAACTTTGATAATTACCTTTATATCTTCGATAT